TGTTCAGAGGGAGGAGAGAACCTCAGGTACGTTCAAAGACAAAGAAGCACGGTGAACAAGGCTTGTCTGTAAATGCTGTTTCACTTACTGGATTTTGGTGTCTCCAGTGTGGGCCAGAGGCAGCTAGTGTGTTTAGCTCGAGCCCTCTTGAGGAAGACCAGGATCCTCATCCTGGATGAAGCTACTGCTGCTATCGACCTGGAGACAGATGACCTCATCCAATCCACCATCAGGACTCAGTTTGAAGACTGCACCGTCTTCACCATTGCACACAGACTCAACACAATAATGGATTACACAAGGTTAGTACCTTACCGATTACTTTGAAGGGAAAATGCACCACCTGCTTTTCCTTTTTTCTGTCATATATTTATATGTACGGTTACAATGGTGAACGCTCATAGACGATGGATATCCTTAGTATGGTCATCTCAGGAACAAAACTGTGGTTATAGCCGACCTGTTGTTCAACTCTTCTTCTTTGCAAGGGAGAGCCGTTCTTATCATCCTTGGCTTAAAGGGAGGATGCCCTCAAAGAGAATGTGGCTAAAACATCTGTTACTCATTATTTTGAATCATGCAAAGCTACTCTAGTCAGGTCCCAGGGGCAGAAATGGGCCACTTTAAAACTATTTTAGAAATAGCTGCTCATTAATTTGAAGTAAGTGAGATTTTTAGAACCGTAACACACAATACTGATGCTTTTCTACCAAAAGCAAAGTAGGAGTAAATTTGATAATGTGATGTGTGTGTAAAAGAAAATAAGCATGTTCTGATTTAAAACCTGTATAGGTCTTGTGAATGAATCACACTCTCTTCCTCTCTTCTTACAGAGTGCTGGTGTTGGACAAGGGACGGATAGCTGAGTTTGATACTCCTACAAACCTTATATCTAAGAGAGGAATCTTCTACGGCATGGCTAAAGATGCAGGACTGGCACAGTAGAACTGCCTTTTTGTCCCGATGTTGTAAACCAGAGTCTGGAATTCAGCTCAGTTCACTTGACTCTGAGTCTGTTTGAAACCTGGCAGTGGAACTGAAGAATACTTTCTGTGTGCACTTGTTATCATTTTCAGGAACCTTATTGCTCTCTTTGAATGACGCCCGAGCTCCTCTGCAGACTTGGGTCATTTAGCACTTGCAAGTAGTTGCAGCGTCTGTCAAAAACACATCAGGACATAAACAAATGTTTCAGTAGGAAGTTTCTGGCTCTGATTGTCCTGCAAGTAAAAAAAAAAAAGCCATAAGTGCAAATGTCATTTGAGCCAAGTCTGCTCTCTAGTGCCTTCTGCCAGTGGGATAAAGAAAGCCAGTGAATGTATCGTTTTCTAATCGGCTCTCTGCTGCAAAACAAACAACACGACAACAAAAAAAGGAGGACCTTTTTAATTACATATTTTCTACAAAGAAGAATAACGTGCCACTGTACCTTTCACATGAGAAAAACTCTACATTTTTGTGATGAACCCACTTATTTTTGTACTGCACTATTATTTAAGCTACTTTTAAAGAATTGTCTTATCTAGGGAAGTGTGCTCAGTTACTTATGTGATTCTTCTGTGAACCAAATCTATAAAAACTTGAATTATGTACCACCAAAATATGAAATATGAAAATGCCTTTGTATATAAAAAAGGAAGAACGAAATTGTTGTGCTGTCTTTAAATGGTGCTGGCGTATAAAACCTTCTTTTGTTTCTGCTTATTGAAGTCATGGTTCCAGATGGGATTGTCATTTGCATGCCAAAGGGTCAAATATGATGTGACTTTAACTTTTTACAATCAAGATATTTGCTTTTT